CATGAGTTTGCAAATATTATTTCCAGTGGCTCCCAATTTTCTTGGACCAAATTCCTACGCACCCTGGGTTGAACAGCTTCCAGCCCCACTGATCTGAATTCATTCAGATTGGTTGGAACATCTCTGACGTGTTCTTCACTTATCCCAATCTGCAGCCCGTCCCCTTTGTTCTCCGTGGTAACTTCACTAGTTGTCTGCTCACATGTTGTTTTTTTGTGGGAAGACTAAAGCAAAGCAGACACGGAGCAGCGCTGCCTTCCCACCATCTTCTGTCACCAGATCAGGATTTTCTGGCCGATCTCATGTTTCTTAGAGAAAATCTCAGTTTTTTTCACCAATTTAAGGATTTTTTTTAGCCCACGATCTCTCAGAACTGTCTGGTGATTTGGGGTTTTCTGTGTGAGGGGGAGGTCATTGCGCTGCCAGCAGCCCCAGATCAGCCCCCTGCAGAGCCCAGCAGTACTGATGATTCCCCAGGCACATCTGCACCCCCAAAAAGCTTCTACTGTCACACTTCTCACCCACAATCTGTCTCTAGGTCTGTCCCAGCCGGACGCCCCAGCCATGGGCAGAGCCCTTCTGCCACAGCAGGATGTCGCGGAAAGGGAGCTCCCGCCTCAGGGCCCACTCTGGAGAGCAGGGGGTCCTGCCACGCTGAGGGTCCTGATCCTCGCCCTGCTCTGGAGGGGTAAGTAAGCTGCTGCTGGAGCCCCAGTGCAGGGGGAAGGTCAGATCCTGCGCTAAGTGGGGCCAGGTCTGTCCCAGAATTTGAAAGGGAGACTGGCCAGAGAGGGAGGGGAGCCCAGAGCCACAGTGTGGTGGTAGGGGGACACTGAGTGACAGGGAGCAGGCAGGGGGCTCGATGTAGGGAGGAATGGAAACTAAATGGAGTGAGAATTGGTCAAGGACCCAGGGCTGGACTCGCATGGGGCTATTGGTCGGGAGTGAGGGGCACTGATAGACCTTGGGGGGGGGTGAACTCAGGGCTGGGCTCGCAGGAGGCTTCAGGTTGGGAGTGAGGGGAATCGGCAGAGCTGTGGGGTGCAGCTCAGGGTTGGTCTCTGCTCTCTATGGGTCCCACTTCCATCTCTCCCCATCCCCCGCAGGGTCCCTGTCCCAGCCACATGGATTTACCCTGGCGGTGCCGCAGTCAGTGTCTGTGCAGGAGGGTCTCTGCGTTCTCATCCCCTGCACCTTCACGTACCCAACCTCGTATGACACCGACAATCCCTCGGCCCAGCTATACGGACAATGGTACAAGGAGTCTGCTACTGTGGGCCAGGATCCTCCCGTGGCCAGCAGTATCCCCAGTGCGGGGGTGTCGCAGGAGACCCAGGGCCGGTTCCGGCTGACGGGGGATCTAGCACACGGCGACTGCTCCCTGCAAATCAGTGATGCCCGACGGACGGATGCAGGGAGATATTTCCTTAACATCGAGAAAGGCATGTTAGATCACACTTACCGCTCCAATTCCGATGGCACTGCCCCTGCGCTAACGATCTCTGTGACAGGTAAGAGCAGCCGCAGTCACCGCTTGTGAGGGTCCCCCCCACTCTGAACTCTGGGGTACAGATGTGGGGACCCGCATGAAATACCCCTTAAGCTTATATTCTACCAGCTTAGGTTAAAATCTTCCCCAAGGCTCAAATTCCTTCCCTTGTCCTTGGACGGTATTGCTGTCACCATCAAGTGAGTTATAGAAAAATTCAGGGAAGGGTAACTTGGAATCCCTATCCACCCAAAATATCCCCCCAAGCTCCTTCACCCCCTTTCCTGT